AGAAATTTCGAATTATTTTATATATTTTTATAGGTTCAAGCAGCTCACGACTTCCGGTCTTAGACCAAGTATCCTCTGGGTAGCCAAAGAACATCCTCATTTTTGGAAAGTGTTACTTTTGCATTTCACTCGAAAAAATGCAGTTCTGCATCACAAAATTCTCGATTTAGTAGATTATATCCTCAGATTTGGAACCTTAAAAATAACTGGCTTTGAGTTCGACCCGCTTCAAGGAATTCGCCAAGCATTGAGGAAGACCTACATGACAACAATCGACCACTTTGAAATGTGCCATCCTAACGCACCCTTTGTACTCTCCTGACTTCTCCCATCTGATTTCTACTTATTCGATTAATGACGCATGACCTGACCGAATAGCACATTCGTTCTTTCTAAGAAGTCAAATATTCGACGATTCATGGATTTGCATCCGATCACTATCATGTCTATCTATATATTCTGTATATAATTCCCCTTACAGTGACTTACCAGTTTTTTTGATGTGATAAAGAATCGAATTTCGCAGGCAAAACCGACCAAAATTTTGGGTAAAATTAAATTTTTTAATTTATTTTATTTTAGTTTGGTAATTTTTTTTATTTTTATTTCATTTCGATCATAGGTCATTGTATGTCCAATATTTTTCATAGAACTCTTTCGTAAGCCTGTAATCACTGGTGGAACGTATATAAGTGACATCGGATCTCGCGCAAAACTCGAACTCGAAAAGTATACTGAATATTCTTAAATTATTTATAAAGTAAACAATGAAAACAATTTTTATTAAATTCCCATAAATGGCTTTTTAATCGATCAAACTAGTTGTGACTCTTAAATAGTTCTTAAAATCAAAATGTTGCATTCAATCAAACGAAATCGCATAAACCCATAAGTAAAAAAATTAAAAAAAAAAATCACACTCCTTTAAAACTATCTAAATGCCAAGACTGCAATTTCTGTAGACATTTCGCACATAACTTGCAACACTGCGCACCGAGGTATTTTAAAACATAATTTATGCCGATTATTCAGTGTCACGCCGCAAGCGGCAAACGTATATATAAATGTATTTTCTGCAGAATTTTTTGCGCAACACAACTAATGCAAACGTGGCATAGCAACTAATGTGGCACGTCGCATTGCTCGTGTGTGTATGCACGCTCACGTGGCACAATATTTGCTGTATAAATACACAACCTCAGCTTCATAAAATGTATGTACACAAATAGACATACTATATGTATGTATTCGTTTGTAAATAAACATTGGAATGTATTAGTAATGGCACTCGCACCCTTTTTTTTCTATCTAAAAAATAGGCGTTAATTGCTCGATATTTACTTAGGTGCCTGTCAACACATTTCCTCCCACTTTTAAGTACAAAATTTTAAAGGGCAATCAGTAAGATTATTTTTTAAATAAAGGAAGTCTACCTTTACATTCCATACATTAAGCAGAGTGTCATTAAACAAAAACCTTTGAGCTGCATTTACGCTCACGTTGTACTCAATTCTGTTAAGTTGAAAGCACAGTGTGAATTTTATAATGGATGGAATTGTAAATTTGGGCGATAATTGAAAAATTCCAACAATAAATTAAGCCTGGATATCAAGCGCTTAATTAAGATTTCAGTTCAATTCATATTCAATTAAAAATGTATTAATTGTTAAACTAAGATTTCAATTCAATTTATATTTAATACAATTTATATTCAATTAATAATTTGTTAATTGCTTAACTAAGATTTGAGTTCAATTTACACTTAATTAAAAAATTATGAATAGCTTAATTAAGATTTCAGTTCGATTTATATTCAATTAAAAATTTGTTAATTGCTTAACTAAGATTTGAGTTCAATTTACACTTAATTAAAAAATTATGAATAGCTTAATTAAGATTTCAGTTCCATTTATATTAAATGAAAAATTTATTAATAGCTTAATTAAGATTTTAGTTCAATTTATATTCGATTAATAATTTACTCATTGCTTAAGTAAGATTTCAATTATATTAATTTTAAAGTAAAAATTTATTTAATTTCAGTTCGATTTATATTTAACCAATAATCTCAATTAATAATTTATTAACTGCCTAACTAAAAGTTCAGTTCAATTTAAATTCAACTAAAAATGAATTAATTGCTTAATTAAGATTTCAGCTAAATTTAGTTTCAATTAAAAGTTTATTAATTTCTATTTCTCATTTCAATTTATATTCAATTAAAAATTAATTGATTGCTTAATTAAAATTTCAGTTCGATTTATATTCTACCTATAATTTATTAATTGCCCAATTAAGATTTCAATTGAGTTGAACCAACGCCCTAATTGGGAAATTAAGTGATTCATCGCCACGACACAATTCACTCAGTTTCAGCATAAAACCAACTCTACAAGAAAAGTTTCAAACGATTTTTTTCAGTTGTAATTATTTTATGAAAATAACAAATTTTTGTCTAGTGCTAAGAATCGCTTGAAGAATTTCAAAAGTATCTGCTCTTACTTTCTAGCATATTTTACACTACCAATTTGTGGGTACTCTTCTCAGCTTTTTTTGGGTGAAATCATAAAAGATAACAAACTATCAATCAAGTAGCCAAACAATTTTCAAAATGATTAGAAAGCAAAAGTGAAAATATTTCTATTTTAATCTTAAATGTAATTTTCACTATATCCTATATACTAAAATTAAATATGACATAGAAACCATAGCTTAAATTTTCGCACTTTCATGAAATTTACTTCATTGCCTTTCGTAATCCAATCAAGTCCTTGCCGCAATTAATGCGCCGCATTCTACACAATTTCATTATATTGCTTCATTAAACAGTGACAGCAAGTGTCAAGTCGTGCGAGGCAAGCACGAAAGCAGATAACTAAAAATTTTAGAAACAACAACGGCAATTAGAACAACAAAATAGCTATCAATGACAACAGTAACAGCAACAACAATAATAATAACAATAATCAGCGATAATCAGGACAAACGTGTCAAATGTATAGATGACAGCGGCAACATCTGGTTAACTGATGCATAGAAGCGAGGAAGTAGTTTATATACATATATGTATATGTATACAGTATACAGTATATATGAGTATATGGTCGTATTTTGAAAATGTGACTATGTAAACTTCAATGTATAAAAGTGCCCTTGAAGAAATTGAAATATAATAATGAAATTTTATATGAATTGTATTACTTGGGCGTGAATATTACGAGATTATAAAGACTAACAAAATTTTGATTGATTCTGATATTATTATATGCAGGAAGGTTCCATTTTCCCGAAAAATAAGGCGTTACGTATTCAAAAAGCAAACCATTGGGGTTATAGACCGTTTTAGATCACGTATGATTTTTTTGTTATAATTTAAAGTAATATTTTACCGCTGCAATTAAACATTGCTACTCTTTAGACGATTTTTTACGACAAATTGTTGAGATCTGTCCACTATAGCATATTGCTGTCTTACGAATTGAGGCATCCAAATCAATTGCTCATATGGAAAACTTTCTTATTTAACCAAGTTTCTTCACGAAATTCGGCACAGATTATTCTCCAAACCAACCGTAGAAGCCACGAAAATATTGTTCAGATCGAAGCACTATAGCATATAGCTGTCATACAAATTACTTTATGATATTAGAAAAGAAAATTTCAATTTTGACATTTTATAATAACTCCGAAACAACATTTTGCGTTAAACTAAATAAAAATTTAAAGAAATATAATATAATAAGATTTTCAAATCTCCAATGTAGCCCTAAAACGAACACCTGTAGGTATGCTACAACCACGGCACTTACTCATATCTATTTATAAAAAATAACATGAGTGTGCAGGTAGTGCTTTGAAAATTTCGTTCCATCTTGCAACAACCTAGCAGGCAATTTGCAACACCACGCTTGCATTAACTCAGGATCTTGTGGCATTTAATAAAATTACGCCCCTCCAATGATATGTACGCGATGCTCGACATGCACTGCTATAACAATAGCCTTGGAAAGGGGAAAGAAAAAAGTGCAAATTAAAGCAACAAAAGCACAAAACGGCTGCAATAATATACCGCAAATGTGTGCATTTTCAACCGATGTCGTCGTATTTGAACTTCTAGCTTGCAGCAAGTAATTGTAATTTAATTTCCAATTAGCAAACAAGCAACTAAATCGAAAATCCTTCCTGCCACAAGCACGTCGCATGCAACAAGACATGTAGGAAACTTAATTACTCACACATGTAACATATACATATATATATATATAGAAATACACTCACACACACACACGCACACAGTTTAGTTGCCAGTTGCCTCATACAAAATGCAGGTGAAAGAGCAGTCGTGACAGGTGCGGCTTGGTGATTGTATATATGTAAACGAAAGTATATAGCACATTTTACATTTTGGTTTTCTCCGTTATAAATACACATATACTATATATATACATATATATATACTAAAATGCGCTTGGTTTCAACAAATAAAAATGCCTTGCTACGTGCAACTTACATATCAGCATCTCGCTGCATACTTGTAATTTGGTGATGAGTGTGTTGCACTAGTGGTCAGTTGCTTTATATGACATTGAATAACCGAAAAAATTTCATTTAAAAATGTTGAGGTCTGGTTGCAAAATATTTGCATTTCTCTTGAAATTTTTTGCCCGTTCTACAACAAATAGATTATAGAGTTTTATGCGCAATCTGAAATTTTATTTAGTGAAAGCAAAATGCATAACCGAAACTAAATTTTACCGAAATCAAACTTGTTTTCGACTTCATATTTTTAACTTTAAGCTGTGGATGGTTTCGGAGTTAACTTCAGTGACCGAAGTTGTACACAGATCCTACGAATTTTTTAATCTAACGGTAGTTATAGTATATTAAAAAATTGCATAATAATACAGTTAATTAAGAGTTAAATACATTTTTTGTCTCCCTACATGTTGCACACACTTACATAAACAAATATTTTTAATCTCTCTCTCTCTTTCCTGCAGCCTGTTGGCATATATGCGAAAAAATACGAATGGGCCGCACGACCTTCCAGCAGCAGTGGCGGTAATTTACATCTTGACCTACACCCGCCGCCTATGCAAATCGGTGGCGATTGTTCCTTATGGATACGTTCGGCGACGCTAGACTTCGATGATGGCTTGTGGGAATGCCAAGTGACGGCGAGTGATTTTACAACACAAGATGCACTCACCAGCCAGCCAGTGCGACTGGTTGTCAGAGGTTAGTTGTTGTATTACCTGTACATTAAGTGGTAAAATAAAACTGACGGAGACATTTGAGCGGCGTAGAGGCATTTTTGTCACAAAGGTATGCTTAGAAGTAAGGGATTCGTCTGTCTGTTTATACATATAAATGCATATATGAGAAATTATCCCCTCACAACAAAACTGTCGGAGAAATTTTATTACCGTGGTTGTATTTTGCTGTCAAAATGAAGCACCAGGCAATAGAGGGTCCGTCCGTCTGTCAATACAGATATATGCGAACTAATCCCATGGAAAATGATCTAAAATCTTGCATCCCTTTTTTCTTCCCAAAAAAGTGCTTATTTGCCAAAGCAAACCAAACTGACCGATCAGAATCAAGTTCTTCTATGGAAATCTTTTTTCGTTGAAGCGATATCTTGACAGAATTTGGCTTAGAATGTTATCCAATTCAACGGTACAATCTCTGCAAGACTTGTTTAATTCGAACATCTGTAGCATATAGCTGCCATACAAACTGACCGATCAGAATCAAGTTCTTCTATGGAAATCTTTTTTCGTTGAAGAGATAACTTGACAAAATTTGGCATAGAATATTATCCAAGCCAACGGTATAATCTCTGAAAAAATTGTTTAATTCGAACATCTATAGCATATAGCTGCCATACAAACTGACCGATCAGAATCAAGTTCTTCTATGGAAATCTTTTTTCGTTGAAGTGATATCTTGACAGAATTTGGCATAGAATGTTATCCAATTCAACGGTACAATCTCTGCAAGAATTGTTTAATTCGAACATCTGTAGCATATAGCTGCCATACAAACTGACCGATCAAAATTGAGTTCTTCTATAGAACGTAATCTAACTAAGAACTTCAAATACCGTGCCAATTGCTCACTTGTAGATAAGTTTGCTGTTAATCAAATGTCGAAAAATTTACACTTTCAACCACATAGCATATCCTTTATATAAATTTTTTATCTTTATAACACTCAAACTTTTCCGACTTCATTCTTTTTACTTCCACTTTATTGCATTTTTCGTATGTTTGTCTTTGAGTAAACCGTCTTTTCTATAAAACCGACTAATTAAATTATATTGCCTCAAGTTGTCGCCTGTTTTTCAATCAAGAACAATCTAAGCAAAGCTTAACCAAGTAAAAGGAGCAATTGAAAAAAAATCTTACCGCAAGAGGAGAAAGTTGAAAGTTGTTACAGCTGAGACCAATTCAGTAATTGGCCATGCTGTTGCACTGGTACAAGCTATGACTGACCTCTTAAAACTTAATTAATTTTAAATCTTATCTAATTTTCCAACACGTTGGCTGCAATTTTGCCATGGCTTTCAAGGCTTACCTTGCAACCGGTATGCTGCAGCATCCGACATATACCTGCCCCGCAACTGTGCCACCGCTTTGCGTGCGCATTAAGAAGAGTATGTGGGTGGTTTGTGTATGTGTGTGTGTTTGGGTATCATCAGCCGCAGATCTATAGAAATATACATATGTGTGTTTGCATGGAACTCGAAGTGCGGGCAAAAGTTCAACACGGAAATTGACCCTAACGCAGCTGATGACTCCATGCTGTTTAAGCACTTGCACTCTTCGCACCCACCTACACGTAAACATATGTATGAGAATGTAGATATATGTATATATCTGTTCGTATATGAACGCTTGGTTGATATGCAACTTGATTTACCTTGTGGTAACAACACTCAACTCAACTCAACTCAACTCAACTCAACTCAACTCAACTCAACACATTTAACATAGAATTAACTCCTATCCATTTACCTATTTTACACAAAGTGCAATTTCGCTTTTAGCTACATTTATATGAAAACACTTTTATAAGTATATACATACCATAAATATATAATGTTATATACAAAAATATATGAATATGTATATACGCACTGGAGTTCAATTACTGTGCAAACATACAACTTCTTAAAACCGTGATATGAAGAGAAATTATTGACATAATATTTTTATTTGAAATGAGAACTCAATTACATAAAAAAGAAAAACTAATAAATGCGGTTTTACAAACCTAAATACCCTTCAGAGCAAAAGTTTCCATACAAGGCTTTCATTTTTATCAATCAATTTGTATGGCAGCTATATGCTATAGTAATTTGATCTGTACAATTTCTTCAAAGATGGTGGCGTTTTCTTTGACAATGCTCCATGCCAAATTTCGTGAATATATCTTATCAAATAAAAAAGTTGCACATACAAAAACTTGATTTCGATCGTTCAGTTTGTATGGCAGTTATATGTTATAGTGAACAGTTCTATACAAAATCTTCGGAAATTGTAGCACTACTATTGAAAAATAACCCATCTCAAATTTTTTGTAGATATCTTATCAAATAAAAAAGTTTTGAATACGAGGATTTGGTTATGATGGATCAGTGGGCAAAAAATAGTACGACTTTTTAGTTTAAATTTCCCGCGAAAACTTATTCGTCAAGATACTTTTTGTCTAGATTGGTACCACTGTCATTGCCATCAGCGTCAAATCTTAGATGAAAAAAATAATTAGTCTGCAAAACTTCAGTTCGATATTTCAAACAGTTGGGGACTACAAATCGACCCAACTCATCATGCTGACAATTATATAGGATTGCTGATGTGTCCTTCTGGGCTTTTCAAACCTCGTGATAAACTTAATTTACCCTCTTCAGTTTTTTGTGGATATAAAACCGCAACAGAAATCGATGCTTCTTGATTTTTTGTTATACAAATATGAACAGAGTTGCCACTTTTAGAAATATTGCAGTAAATTAAATAAAATTATTTCTATTTCTATACTCTAAAAGTTTCTGGCTTGAGTTTAAAGAGACAATTTGTTGTTGTAAAAAAAAATTGCAAAAAATATTTATATTCACAAAAGCGCAATTTTTTTCCGTCATTTCTGATAAAAATTAATTATAGTGTCGGCATGTTTCATTAAACATATAATATTCATCTAAATCAAATGTAATAGTTGAATCAAGGTATATGTATTATAAATAATATTACCAACTTTTTAGAAACTGTTAGCACACAGTTTCGGCAATAACTGCTAAGATTTATTTATTTGAAATTCGCAAAAAATTCTTTTCATCCACTTGATTTGAAAGGGAACTTTTTGTGGCAAACACGTCTAACATTTTCAACTTGACTGCATACTGCAAACACATGCTTGTCCATAATTAACTGAAATAAAGCTATAAACAAGATGCATAAAAGCAATAAACCGCTCAGCATGCGCAAAACCTAAACGACATTAGTGCGGCCACATAACACCTGAGCTTCGTGCAGAGGCTCAGAGGAAGTTAACAACAAGACATCACTCATCCGCCCTGTAAAACACCGCTGCGGCACAACTTTAAGCAACATTTCATAATTTGTATTTTATTTGTTTAATTGGATTCTTTTTTGCTTCTTTTTTGCTTCTACCGGCCATTTCTTGCGGCAACTCAATTAGTTCTCACACCGGTTTTAATCTTTTATGCCACTGCTCTGTTTAAACATACATACTTATATCCTTTTTTCTAATATTTTGCAGTGGTGCCACAACGTCCACGCCTGGAGTATGAGGGCGCACATGTTCCACCCGGACATAATATTACCATCGACTCGGGTGCTCTGGCGACCGTTAAATGCGTATCGCACTATGGCAATCCGCCAGCCACACTCAAATGGTATCTTGGTAAGTTGTTTTAGTAAAATACTAGGGTTACACTAATCATATGTATAATTTTGGATGTTACACACTATTTATAGATATAGCAAATTTTGTATATCTTCTTTATTGGCGTAGACACCGTATACGTGGTTATAGCCGAGTTTAAAGTCGTTCTGTGTCTTCTCTATTTGACGCCAATTGGAGATTCTTAGTGTAGTCAGGTCCTTCTTCATCTGGTCCTTACAACGGAGTCTCCTCTTCCTCTGCTTCCCCCGGCGGGTACTGCGTCAAACTTCAGAGCTGAAGTGAAGCGTAGCCGCTGTCTATTAGTTCACTGAGCTATGACAATGTCGTCGGATATCTCAAACAGCTCATCATTACTTCCGCGGTCGATATTTGCTGTTGCCAATGTTCAAAGACCAATAAATCTTTCGCAGAATCTTTCTCTCGAAAACTCGTAACGCGGACTCATAAAATGATGTCATTGTTCAAGCTTGAACTGTAGAATTTGGTCTTTTTCGTCGAGAGAGGACTTTACTTGTTAATTACCTCTCAGTTCGAAGGACCACCTGCTGACAAGAGTTATTCTGCATTGGCCATCGAAACTGAAGTTTTTGTTGGTGTTAATGCTGGTTCCAAGGTAGATGAAATGATCTACTACCTTCGAAATTATGGCTGTCATTGGTGTCATGAGAGCCTAGTCGCGACAAGAGGTATTTTGTCTTGCCCTTCTTCACCACCAGATCTATTTGTTTTGCTTCTTTGTCCAACCTAGATAAAGCAGAACTAACTAAGATTGTACCTTCTCTACTCAGCTCTCTGGCTCAAATTATTTACTCCAGGAGCACCGGTGGGCTTTAATCTTTCACACAGTGTGCTCGATAGAACGTTATATGCAATGTTAGAAGAATTATCACACGATAGTTGGCGCAGATTGTGGGGTCTCACTTTTAATGAATGAAATATCTATATAAATCAACGTAATGACGAGCTGCCTCGATTTAGCATATGTCCATTTCTCTTTCTATCTTTCTGTATGCATATACGCGAATAGTCCCTTGGTTTTTCTGATATCTTTCCGAAATTTATCACGCGTCCTTTTCTCCACAAAAATTGCCAAACTAAACTGAACAATCGGAACCCCATCGTTGTATGGAAAACTTTCGTAATTACCAAAGGTTGTTGACATGGCTAAAAGTAAACAAAACGGGTATTGACCACAAATACCTTTTGTAGCCAAAAGAATAATCGACCACAATATTATTATTATTATTAATATAAACAAAGGGTGTTTCCTTGACTAAATGCAAACACAGGTTTTTGTCTAGACTAAAGTAAATGAAAGGGTATTGACGCTACAAAATGTAAGCAAAGGACTCATTGGTCCAATAAAAGCCAAACAAAAGCGTATTTGACATAAAATATAAATAAAGTTACACATGTAATTTTTTCCAAGAAACTGCTCATTATTCAAAACTCCTGATATCGCAAAACTTTAAGATATAGTTGACATACAAGCTGAGCGATCGAAATCAAAAAAAAAATCTCTTTAAACTATTCTTTCGTGTAAGAAAATTTCATCTGAAACATATTAAAGTTTTGCTGCAGTCAGAGTTAACGTTTTCAAAACTCTTTGTGTTAAGTGTAACCCTAGTAAGTGCTTAGTTTTTTTTTTATATATAAACAAATTTAAGCACAACAAAATTATGTTAACCTTCATACCACGAATGGTTAGGGAAGCGCAATAGTTTCATACACTATTATGCTCGCTTACAAGGTATATGTGCCCGAATATGCATGCTTGGATTATGCCAGCAACTTGCTACATCTGCATGGCCAAAGACTAAATAAAATAGCTACATTTTATCAACAACATTTTAGTTGCCATACATGAACCCAGACCCTTTTTGGCTATTCCCACTTTCGTAATTATTATTATACCTTTAGCTGTCGGCTTAATTACGCATGTATGTATTTGTGTGCGTATCATAATCCATACAATCTAATTTACTATTGTCCGGTCAGTTAGTGGCATGTTGACCTAGAGTTGGCGCTGCTTCCACTACCAAAACTCTAATTATACATGTATATATGTATGTACTTACATAATTCTACTCATGTGCACATAATCCCACTAATAATCTGCCGCCAACGCTACCCTAATGCTTTATAATGCTATTACCACTACTACCTTGATATATAGTAAGTATGTAGACCTATTATTGGTACCTCCGGCTACCTTCCACATGTACTCCCATATTTGTGTGTTATTATATAATTGTTTGGTTTTTATAGTTCCAAGTATGTTTTTAAGCATTACACCCTACAATCAGCTTCCTGAATAATATATCAGTATAGACTATACAACAAAACTCTCTATTGGTTGACTTTCTTTATAACTCATACCCATTTTTTTAATTAAAATCCTTCTTACTCTTTTCTACGTTCTTCCAGGTGACCAAGAAATTCAACCGATTCATCCGCAAATCAACAATACCGAACCGGATAATCCGCGCACCTGGTCGGCAACGTCAGTTGTTCAAGTGACGGCGATGCGTGAACGCCATGGCGACATTTTGCGCTGTCTGGCCTATCATGAATCTTATACGGCGAAATCTGTGCCGGTTGAGGCACGTTTGGATGTAAAATGTGAGTATAAATATGTATCATATGACGTTGCATTTAAAGCATGCCGAAACGAACATGCAAGCATCAACAATAAATTATTAGGTTGTCAAAAAAGTCTTGCGGTATTTTCGCTAGTTGGCGCTGAGAGCGCGTAGTGCTAGTTTTATTCGTCGCATCGGATCATGCTATACCTTTTTGGAAAGCTCATTTCACGCGCTAACACGTGTTTGATTGATTGTCGTTTCTTTTAAGTCGTTCGCTAGTTAAAGCTTGGAGCAAAATAAAGAGGAAATACGGCATATTTTACAGTACTACTACGATAAAGGCAAAAATGCATCTCAAGCCGCCAATAAAATGTGTGCAGTTTATGGACCCGATACAGTTTCCATTTCCACCGCGCAACGTTGATTTGAACGTTTTCGTTCTGGTGTAGAGGTGGTCGAAGATGCGCCACGCTCCGGAAGCCCTGTCGTCGAAAATTGCCATAAAATCGCTGAATTGGTCGAAAGAGACCGACATAGTAGCAGCCGTAGCATTGGTCAAGAGCTGGACATGAGTCATCAAAAAAAATTTTATGAACAATTGAAAATTCAATAAAAATCCCGCAAGACTTTTTTGACAACCTATTATATTGCTGTCGAAAGAAAAGATCTGTATACCACAGTTTTGTATCTGATACTCGTACAGTCTTCAGCAATACATTCATACCGAAGACAATTGCAAAAAAAAATCGTATTGCTTACAAGATGGCAGCGGCTGTAACAGTTCTTATTTGAGACACAGATGTTCTGGTTATCATCTGTTTGAAACTTGTGTTTGTTCCTCGTCGTTGAATAAATTTTTTTGCAACATATACTCCTAGTTTTCTTTCTTTTAGTTAATTTTACACATATTGGTATAAATAGAGACGATAGTTTGGCTCCATTGTGAAACAGCTTGCTGAAAATCTTCTGAAACTCCTTCTTCAATATGTTAATTACTGAACTGGTTTCAGTGTTGACAATACGGTAATCTCAGCTGCGTCGAAAGAAAAGTGCTAAGTTTCCTGCAATGAGCTAAATTAACATCCTTATGTCACTTGATTACTGTGTAGAGTGCCTGTTTCTAATATCAAATTCCAGTCGCTCTGAAACATAAAAATAAATAAATATCAATAAAAAAAGATAAATATCAAAAGAAACCATGTATGAACTTAGTTGTCGAAGACGCAAGTTTTCTTTAGAGCAGACGTCTTCTTGTGCCTTTACCGACGCTTACGCAGTCGGTTATAGCCGAGTTTACATCAGCGCGCTAGTCGTTCTTAATTTTCACTATTTTACGCCAATTGGAGATTCCAAATGTAGTCAGGTCCTTCTGCACCAGGATCTTACAACGGACTAGACATCTTCCTCTGCTTCCCCCGGCGGATACTACTTCGAATACTCTCAGAGCTGGAGTGTTTTCATTCATTCCAGCGGCAGGATCTAGCCAGCGTAGCCGCTCTCTCCTAATTCGCGCTGAAACCTCGCTTGATATCGAACGGCTTATAGAGATCCCTCCCGCTCATGACAGTTCGTTTGGTATTGCTGAACGTCAGTTTCCACAGCCTTATTAGTTTTGCGGCGGTACCAAATTCAGATATAGCAACATTAAGGCAGCTTGGTTTCGTCCTGAATTATGAGAAAGAGGTGTGTGTAGATTCACTTTTCACTGTCTTTTCCAAGATATAGTGTAAAAATCTGGCCAGTTGTTGATTTTCCAGGCGTAAAGCCACACTGACTAGGTCTAATCAGTTTGTTGATTGTGGTCTTTAATCTTTTGCACAATATGCTCGAAAGAACCTTAAGTATGCGATGTTCAGGAATCATATTCCACTGTAGTTGACGCAGATTGTGTGGTGTCCCTTTCTGTGGATTGGGCAGAGCACACTTGAATACCAATCGTCGGCCATGCTTTCGTCCGACCATATTCAACAAAGAAGCTGATGGATACTCCCTAACAATTTTGCGCCGCTGTGTTTGAATAGCTCGGCCGACAAACCATCGGCTCCCGCCGCTTTATTGTTCTTCAGACGTACAATTGCTATTCGAACTTCTTCATGGTCGAGCAATGAAACGTCCGCTCCATTGTCATCGATTAGGGAATCGATTTCACCATCTACTGCTGGTATGCTTTCACTGCCATTCAGCAGGTTAGATAAGTGTTCCCTCCATAATTTCAGTATGCTGTGGATATGAGATCATCTCTACAAGAGTGTGCTGCGGTTTTGAAACCTTCTGTTAGTCGCCGCAACTTTTCGTAGAATTTTCGAGCATTGCCTCTGTCGACCAGCTTGTCAGTCTACTTGGGAATAAATGTTGTTATCTTTTGTCGAAGTTACATGTATTTCATTAATATTTAACAAACTTTTATACCCTGAACATCCAGAAGGAAATGTCGGTGACTTTATAAAATACATAGGTGAATAAATGGCCAGTGATTAGCTGAGTTGATTGTGGCATGTACATGTTCGTCTGTTCATCTGTATATACTATACATGTCCCTCAATTTGTGTGATAAAATTCTCTGAAATTGTGCAAACTTCTATTTTTGCACCAAGAAGCTAATCTTTCGTCGGAATCGCGGATATCGGAAACAATTCTCTAGCAGACTTTGAACCACTAACATAGCTACTAATGTAATTGTACAGATGATGCAGAAACAAATTGTAGACACAACTACTTCCTTTTAATAGGTAATACGTGGCTAATCATTCCTCAACCTTGTTTTCAATGACCAATTTTTTACTAACAAAATCAATGCTTGATAAGCTCACGAAGTTGAATAAGCTGCATTTTTTTTTTTTTTTTTTTTTTTTTTTTTTTTTTTTTTTTTTTTTTTTTTTTTTTTTTTTTTTTTTTTTTTTTTTTTTTTTTTTTTTTTTTATCCTGCCATATCTGTGGCAAATTAAATCGCAAATCAATGCCAGCAGCAGCAAAAATAGAACACATATTACGTGTGTATCAACAGCCGCCGTTGTTGTTATTATTATAGTAAATGCAATTAAATTAATTCTTCGTTTCACTGAGTGCTATACTATACATGTCAAGCGTACACATTACGGTCGACCTAAATTCTTCCCACTCTATGCGCCACTGACTGCCGACCACATCAGTCACACTAAGCCACGCAGTAAGCCACAAATCAGCAAAAGCTTACCCACACACACACGACTCAGCTACAATTACAGTTGCGAGACTCGCTAGGCTTATGTCTAGGTCTGCGCATGCGAGCGTGTTTGAGTGTTTGTGTATGTGTGCGTCTGTGTAGCTGTTTACTGTCTACTGTGTAGCATTTTCAACAATCTATTTGCTCGCTATAAGCCCAGGTTGTTGTCGGCCAGTCAACCAACGCACCCGCCTACCCGCAGCCAACAGTCACCAACCGCCAGCCAGCAGACTGTGTGTATTGGCTAGGCAGCCAATATTTCAATTTGGCCGTCAGCCAAGGAAAAGTCAACAAATTTGATCAGTTGCCTTACCAATACTAGCTAGGCTGTGAGTGCATCAGTCCCGCCAACTATGCGCTGCCTTAAAAGCTTTTTGGCGGCTATTTCACCTTGTTTTGGTTGCACCAACACCAACACCATGCCAACAATGACGCCGACGCGGCCACAACGAAAATCAATTAAATTAACTGTGAATTTACACATTTCCACGTGTATGCGGCCATCACGCGGCAGCTCCAACGTCAGTGTCGGTAGGGCGAGAAGCAACAACATTTGTATGCCTGCGGTCTACCCTACACGTGAACTTATACTATATATGTATGCGTAGTATGCCGGTGTGTGTGTAGGCCTTGCTTTCTAACTGTTTGTCTGTCTGTCTGCCTGTCGCAATACAACTTTGCCTCTGCGCTTTTACTTGCTTTTATTTACCTCTAATATTCCATTTATGGCTTATTGCTTTTATTGTTTTTGTGTATTTTTGTCTTAGTCGCTTTTGTTATTTTCCTTTTCAGCGCCCAAATGTTTCGACATAAATCCTTTAGCCTTAAGAATTTTATTGCTTTCTTAACGGTTTTATTATTGCTGTCAATAGCAAAGCTCACCTCAGCTCCACACGCACAGCGGCTCGGTTCAGCTCAGTTTAGTTCAGTTCAGCTGAGGTGCCGTTGACCGGCAGCGCCCCAGCCAACACAGTTATTATTATTGTTACAATTTTATGCTTCCGTTGCACATTGTTTTCCTTTCATTCGTGTTGTTTGTATTTTCACAACTTCCATCTTGTTGCAGATGCGCCAACCATTCGTCTAATTGGCTCACCGGAAATCGACTTAGAGGAGGATAAGGATGCGCTTATCCTGCGTTGCGTTGCCGATGCCAATCCACCGGCAAGTATTGTGTGGCGGCGTGCGGGTCGTTCGGAAATCGCCAGCTTGCAGGTGAGTGAAATTTCCTAGAATAACATGACTTTTACAGTGCTACAACAATAATAGCAACTGTTCTGTGGGGAAATTGTTTAAGTACTGATAAATGCACTTACCTATACTCGTTTATGGGGAAGTTGAATTTAGTAGGAAATGGCAGCTGACTTAGAAGTTCAAGGTATTATAAATTGAGCGTTATATACTGATATCTCGAGAGTGTGGGCGTCTAAGACTGTGATTACTTTCAGATACATTGTGGCTATATTTTTTAGTAATTCAAAGAAAACGATTGAGAGATCACCGAACGAAACTTTCCCAAAGAGATTTAACTCTCTAAGTTTGTAGAAATAAACAAAGTGCTCACCAAAATGAGATATATATTTGTGCGTTTAAGACTCATTACTTATATATATGTCTGTAATATAAGTATATATTAAAAAAGAAAGATAAATTTTATCCTGTCAATAGTCATAATGTATAGCAGTTGATGAAAATTTACCCGGACTGGTGCAAACAAGCCATTCAGGCTAACCGTATCATCAAAAATATTTTCCTGGATTGGTATAACCTTGCTATGTATGCTTGTAAGTTTTGATCTTCATTTGTCCATTAGGGTATGTTTGACTGCTGCTTGTTTACCAAGCGAAAAGTTTCCATGGAGTTTTTTCCATGGAAAAAATTAGTTTGCTTGAATTTTTGTATTTAAAATGAAATTATGACGACGAAAGCATTGCAGAAGTGTTTTGGCTAGTTTACTTTTTCACGGACACAATTATTTGTTCATTATTTGCTTCATAAGGGACGTCCGTTTACTTACCTCTGTTTATGATGTTAAGAACGACGATAAGATAGAAACAATGCCTTAAAACCATCGCATCGACATTACAAAGTTGGTAAAGGCGCTTAGTAACTCTTAAGGTTCGACTCAACACATATTGGTTAATAGTTTGGGTATGTAGCATGTGATCCGATCATAAAATATATGCTTTACAACATTACTGAAGACGGGTGACAAGCTGGTGGGTTTATGAATACGACTTCGGAACTGTCCAAAAATCTAGACAGTGATGCTTCAAAAAATTTTGTAGAACAACCGGTGCGACCGATGCCTTCCTTGGCTTTTCCTCGTTGTTGGGTTTTCACGAAAGAAAGTATGGACCTTTGATATTTTGTTCTTTCTAGTAAATAAATTCAGTTCGGGATTTTTAGGGTTTATGGCGAAGCCGTTTTCAGCATCACAGTTGTTTACGATACTAAGGTATGCCTGAGTTAGCTAATACACGGCATTCAAAAAATTTCCCCCAACTTTTCCAGAAGTTCATTAACAATGATACTGAGATGTTGCGATAACTTCCCTTCTGGGATGCCTCTACTCATATTCCATTGTACCTGCACACTGTCCGATTCCGCCGCGATGGTTCTATCGCATATAAGTTTGAAGATGAAATGCTTAAGGTTCGATTAAACTCTAAACCTATTCAAATATTTAAGTATCACTTTCGACCGAACGTTGTTGAATGCTCCTGTGATATCGAGTGAGATCCATTTCAAACTCTCTGTTATTTATGGTCCACTCGAGCCAGAGACTACAGACCCTCGATATCGAGGATGGCCCTAGTTCAGATCAATCAATCTCTCCAACGTTTTCCAACGAAAAGAGGGGAAACCAATGATGTTCTTGACCTAATGATATTCTTGACCGACCTCCTAACGGTCTTCGAGATGAACTCTCTCTGAGACTCTAACCTATCTCCACGCCAGAGGAACAGTTTCTAATCTAATGCAATTCACAACTGGCCGGTAGTTGCACGAAATCGTTACAGTACGCTGCAGTTGCGATAATATGATGCCATATGACCATGGACCGGGATCTGGAGTGTTTTGAATGAGTTGATCGCCCATGTTGGGTAGCGTTCACCCAGCAGGCTCAAAATTAATGTGCAGTCCTTCTCCGGCACTCCGAGAGCTACTGTCCCAGGGTAAGGAATACTCGAAAAGTGAGTGCTTAGGAGCAGCTAAAGGTATTCTGACTGCTTAAATTGCAGTCATCCTTACCCATCCTTAGGTCGGTGGTTCATATCCGGCTGAAGTCACTATAACTCGCTTGCATATATTGCTCTAAACATATTAAAGAATCTTGCTATCATAATATATTTATATCACCCACATGTTTTTGTGTTGAGTACTAGGTACACAGTAGGCTTCACAAAACTTTTATATATCCCAAAATAGGCAGAAGGAGAATGTTGCGTGCCTCTTCATTTTGGAGATCATAATTCGAACTTCATTTTAGTATCCTTTGTTAAAAGTTAAACTCTTAGAAAAATAGCTTAAGATTCGGAATTTCAATTTTTACTATTGGGACCATATGATTTTTATAATCTCGCAACAAAAGAGAGTATTATAGTTTTGTCCACATAACTGTTGTTTGTAAGTCCTAAAACTAAAAGAGTTAGATATAGGGTTATATATACCAAAGTGATCAGGGTGATGAGTAGAGTTTAAATCCGGATGTCTGTCTGTCCGTCCGTCCGTGCAAGTTGTAACTTGAGTAAAAATTGAGATATCTTGATGAAACTTGGTACTCGTATTTCTTGGCTCCATAAGCAGGTTAGGTTCGAAGATGGGCAAAATCGGCCCACTGCCACGCCCACAAAATGGCGGAAACCGAAAACCTATAAAGTGTCATAACTAAGCCATAAATAAAGATATTAAAGTGAAATTTGGCAAAAAGGATCGCATTAGGGATGGGCATATTTGGCCGTAATTTTTTGGAAAAGTGGGCGTGGCCCCGCCCCTACTAAGTTTTTTGTACATATCTCGGAAACTACTACAGCTAAGTCAACCAAACTGTATAGAGTCGTTTCTTTTAGACATTTCCATATACAGTTCAAAAATGGAATAAATCGGATAATAACCACGCCCACCTCCCATACAAAGGCTATGTTGAAAATCACTAAAAGTGCGTCAACCGACTAACAAAAAACGTCAGAAACACTAAATTCTTTCGGAAGAAATGTCAGAAGGAAGCGGCAGTCCAGGCCTTTTTTTAAAAATTGAAAATGGGCGTGGCGTCGCCCACTTATGGACCAAAAACCATATCTCAGGAACTACTCGAGCGAATTCGGTACATAATATTTTCTTAACACCCTGATGACATGTACGAAATATGGGTTAAATCGGTTCACAACCACGCCTTCTTCCAATATAAGGCTATTTTGAATTCCATCTGATGCCTTCTCTGTATAATATATACATTAGAAACCAATGATAATAGCGGAATGAAACTTTACATAAATACGGTATTTGATGCGACAGTATAAAATGTTCCATGACACCCGAATTTAGCCCTCCTTACTTGTTAGATTTACATATGTCTGTTCTTAAGTTGGCCTCATTTTATTTTCATATAATATTTTAATTACTTTTATCACTAATTTCCTTCGCTTCTCTTTTCATGCTCACAGGAAACACTGCAACTGCGTCCAGTAGGCCGTCGTGATGCCGGACTCTACACATGTCAAGCCCAAAACTCGGTGGGCACCTCAGAGCAGCTCTCCGTACAGTTGGACGTTAAATGTAAGCATCTTTATTTTCGTTTCAGCGTTCTACCATAAGCGATTTAAAGTCGTTTTCAAATATATCGCTTACTGTCCATCACTCACCATTTTTTTGCATTTTTTGTTTTTCCCTTTCGCAGATCCACCTAAAATAGTATCGGCCGGACCGGATCGACTGACTACAGCACCATTATTCAGTCCAGCCGCATTTGAGTGCGTCGCCGAAGGCAATCCGATGCCCAGCTATAAATGGGTGCAGCGGTAAGTGCAATAGCTGAAAGCAAACTATTACTATTTTTATTTATGAAAGCGCCGAGCGTAATTTAGTTTGCGTTTCAATATTTTGGTTGACAGCACACAACTTTAATCCACTGCGCCATCAAATGTCGCCTTAAAGCTATTTTTCACTTTTCGCTCCGTCAAAAATTGAACGGCATGAGTGCTCGTGCAGTGAGGGCGAATGTCATATTTCAATAGCCGTTGGCGGCAGTYAATCCTTTCGCGTCTGACTTATAATCCATTTCAACATGGCGCAGKAACAGCTTTATCACCACAAGCGACCACAAGTTGTGCCTACAAGCCTACGGTCGTATTAATGCCATCTACAAACACACACGCACGTACACACAAGCTCCACCTGTGCTACGTTCGTGGCTGTGAACGGCAAATGTTCAATTTAAATTTTCCACGAACCCTTGCTCGCCGTTGCTGCATTTCGACGAAAGTTGCCGTGTAAACGGTCGGTGTTGTCACGAATATTTGGTATTTTTTGGTTGTTTTTTTTTTACTTTGCCGCGTCCACTTTTACGCGGCAGTTGCAATTTGGTGTCGCCCTCGAGGTGTCTGTCTCTGCATGCTGCAGCAACACTGCTTGCTTCGTTAGCCGACACAGATTTGGCTGCGGGCTACACTGCTTGCCACTTTTCCGCTTGAGTTGAGTAAGCTGCGGTTGTGTGTGTGCCAGGGCTGCCGTTATGTGAAGTGCGGATATTTTGCAATCGCTTTCATTATTGTGTTACTTTTGTGATTCGTGAAGTGTGCTCTTGGGCTAATGCTTAGACGGGGTAAACAAAATAAAATGAGAAAATACCTCTCAGAGCCATCGATTTTAATCGCGCTAACACAATTAGACTAATCTTTTGTCATTTTTCATCAGTAAGTCTAAGTTTTTGGCACCAATAAAGAAGATATGTATCGCAGCTTTTCATCTATAAGTCGCCATGCTCTTTAACGTCGTGAAACTCCTCACATAATCAACATTATTATCTCCCCCAAATTCTAGTGGCTACCGCAGAACCTTCTTCTTAGAATATTATATAAATTTAAAGCGCTCAAACCAGGCGTATATTAGGTTAGCTTGATCTGTTAGGCTTATGTGCCATACTTAGACCAGTTTGTTGATTTGCAATACCAGTTGGAGTTCAGTTACTAAGTCCAAGAGGAGTAGTAATTGCTTAGGATGCATGCGCTTGACGCGAATTTTAACAGACTCTGCGGCCTCACTATCGATACCGCCTCGAATGTATCATACCGTGGAGAGATCGGATGCTTACAGTGTAGCCTTGTCAATGTGAGACAAGTGCATAAGAGATGCTGTATTGTTTCTCTGTAGACTTCTCGAACTGTCACCTCCATCCTGCGGGTGTGTATTGCTAACAAACAGTGACCAGTTAGCGTTACCATCATGTTCCTACAGTCGATTTGGTGTACTTCTGATCTACTATTTTGCACCTGATTTTTGCAGTTTCGTACCCAGGTAGCTCATTCCATCGGGTTCTTTACCAGGCTTCTGTCAAGATCATTGTATAAACAAAAAATGGGTTTCCCAATATCGTCCACTATTTCATTGCCCTCGTTGCCTATGTGGCCTGGGACCCAGTTGAAGTGAAAATGCTTACTTTTGGCAACACTTTCCACCGCTGTCCTGCTTCTCAAGACACTTCTGGTCGATAGGCGATACGAGGCTACTGTCTTGTTTACTGCTTGGCTGTCTACGTAGATGTTGGCTCTACATTTGTCTGCAGGTGTGTTAGAGGACACTCCCGCGGCTTTGGAAATATTAAAGACGTCAGCTTGAAATATACTGTAGTCTTCCAGCAACTTAAAAGGCTTTCTTTTGCCTATCTCAAGATATTATATTCCCGCACAAGCTCCATCGTCCATTTTCAAGCCATGCGTATAGATGTTCAGAGTATTCCACATACCTAAAATACCGTTACGACAGACATCTTTTTCTGTATTTACTTTGAACCTGCTTTCCTACTTGAAATTTTGGTCACGTAGTCGGGGTTTGTCCAACCGCCATTACCCACCGAGCTATGCTCGAAGGTTCAGGTTTTTAGCGAAAAGGTCTGTCAGGTTTAGTACCAGTTGAAGAGCAGCCGTTGGAGTTGTTCTTAAACCTCCCGTTAAGTATGGCGCAGCGAGTCTCTGAACCCTTTCCATTGGTTTCCGGTATGTGGCATCCGTACCCCTGTCCACCATATTACTGCACAGTAGAACAGAATTGATATAGCAGTGTATACCAGTGCATGAGAGAGGTGGGTTCTATCGAGCTTCTGCCTACATGCATATAAAACATTTGATGGTTTCCCCCACTATTTCTTCCACGTTGTGCTCCCACAGCAATTTGTTGTCTAAAACTACTATAAAGTACTTGGAGTGGTCCTTGAGAAAGAGTTATGTCCCATTTAAAGAAGGTAACCTCCATAGAGGAATTTTGTGTTTTCTTAAGAACACAAGCATATTCGTTTACACCGCGTGCAACCCCATACCCGCTGCGATGCCTAGTTCTGGACTATATTGAGACTGGTGGTTATAATACTGTTAATAGTCTGTAGACACCTATCCGTTATTAGTATAGCAATGTCGTCTACATATGCCACTATCTCAGGGACTTTGCTGAACTTCGGCATACAAATTTTGTATGCCCTTCCCAAGGGACATTATTAGTTTGCTTCTTCACCAAGCTTTTCGAAACAGAATATTTTACTACGGGTAATGGATAACTTTAGGAGCTTTTTTTTGGCATTTAATTGCGTCTCGAAGCTGTATTTCATTTTCACCTCTCTGTTTGCTATGTAGGCGGCGTCTGAGTGACAGAGCTTCCTCAGCTTAGCGATTTCTTCATTCCATCGGTATATCGATCTTTAATTGGTGGCGTAATGCTTCACACAAGCTTGTGTGTATAGGGTTCATGTATTTGTATGTAAACACATGGAAACAGAGAATTTTGTTCCTAACTCTGGCGTGTAGTAACAGTATGGCATTTTTTTTTTTTTTTTTTTTTTTTTTTTTTTTTTTTTTTTTTTTTTTTTTTTTTTTTTTTTTTTTTTTTTTTTTTTTTTTTTTTTTGCTAGCTAAGTTCTTTGAAAAGCAAGTTGTTAACCAACCAATCTCACTAGCTAATTGCAACTATCCAGCAAATTTCGCAAATAATAGGCTGCCAGCAGTCATTCATAAACGTTGCGAAACCAAGTTGATACTAAAGCGAAAAATGTGCAGAAACGTTCGATAAAGCATGATATTTTCTTGATCAACTCTACAGCCATCTCCAGTACCAACCTTGTACATATATTCCCTTATATAGTCACATTCATTCGCTCTCTATTTGCTGGCTGTTTTTCTCATATCATTTTATCACTCATACGCCGTGTGGCACAAGCATTGGCATTTTACTTTTATATGGCTAATTAGCAGCAAGTCGTATAATATATTCTCCGAATAACTTATTAACTCAAAAAACTCTGTTTCTGCTCATTTCACTTTAAAATCCGGCTTATCGCCGGCTTGAATTTGCTTACGGACAGATAAATATATCGCTCAACAATTTGCGTACACTCATTCGGGTTTTTCTTTTTACTGGCAATTAAAATGTTATATTTGCAAGCGTTACTGTTTACATGTTAATATGATATTTACTTACATAGTACGTGCTTATACATATATACTTTTATATTTATGTGTGCGTGTATGTATAGCGGCATTGTCTGCTGACTACTGAAATGAGCTGAAATTAAAGTCATTTGATAGTTAAAGAAAAATAAACTACACAGTTATACGCCCACACCCACACAAATTCACACACACACACACAAAGCAGTGTTTTATGCACGCGTCAAGCAGCGTGTTTCCGCTTCCTGTTTGCGGTCTTGCACACAGCTGCTACATCCGCCGCCAAGGCGTTGCTACGTGCGCCGCCGACATTCTCAACTTCACTTCGCATTCTAGTTGTTATTGTATCTTCTGTCTCTCTGCGGTTGTAAGCTATACATTTATTTGCGCAACATCGCTTCTTATATTCCTCTTGTTGTCTTTTCTTTTTTTTTTTTTTTGTTGTGCTTCATTTGTTTATTTTGCTCAACGTTTGCTATGCCGGCGCCTGTGGCATTTCACCATTGCTGTTGCACGTTTTTTTTTTTTTTTTAATTAGCAGTGTCAGGAAATTGTGCGCCGTGAGCGCGTCAACGTACGACTGATTGCTACTTTCTAGAGCCATACAATGCGTTTATGCGCCGACAAAATTCAACTGTAAGTTGTGTAATTAGAAAAGGAAAGATGGCAGCGATAAGAATTTTTAATAAGAGAAATATTACAGACAATAAAGAAATGAAGTCGTACGTTGTTTCCTTGACTCCTTTCTTAAAAATTAAATTTCGTACTTAACTGATATGGGTTCATAACTATTCTGCGATATATAGCAGGTTCGAGTCCCGAATGAATTAAATATTAAAATTTTAGAAGTTAAGTCTCCTAAAGCAGTCTTGAAAGTAGTCTTTTCGTATTTTGTCAATAGATGTCGTTGGATCGTATATATCCAATGCTACCAATCACATTGTGTCATACCATATAGTGTTGGAAAGATGAGATCTTTAACTTCATTTAACCAGAAACACTAAGTTCAGGGAAGTTGAAAAAAAGTTACAGTAGTTCAAAAATGAGTGAAAATAATGAAGAAATTCGCTATATTTTGAAATTTTTGTATAAAAAGGGAAGAGTCTTACACAAGCCACCAATGAAATTTGTGAAGTTTAGGGAGACGATGCTGCATCATTTCGTGTAGCACAACAACAGTTCGCTCGCTCCCGTTCTGGAGATTTCTATGTGAAAGATGCACCTCGCTCTGGTCGACCTATCGTTGAACAAGTCGAGGAGATAAAAGAAAATAATGACCAGGCCCCTCACATAAGCGGCCATGGAACTTAAGTCAACAGCAAACTGTTTTGAACCATTTAAAAAAGGCTGGCTACAAAAAGATGCTC